TGACAGTTGACATTCCACAATTTTATGCCGTTTCTCTATTGGGTTACTGACACCACATTGGAAAGCATTCATCGGTGTGATTAGGGTTAGGGTACCATACACAATTTATATTAAGGATAAACATGTATTCACCGGTGGGATTAGGGTTAGCCTCGCCTACACCATAGATATTAGGGTTATCCTCGCATTCATCTGTGGGATTAGGGTTAGCCTCGCATTCATCAGTGGGATAAGGGTTAGCCTCGCATACACCATAGAGATTAGGGTTAGCCTCGCATTCATCAGTGGGATTAGGGTTAGCCTTGCATACACCATAGAGATTAGGGTAAGCCTCGCATTCATCGGTGGGATTAGGGTCCACTGAGATTAAGGTTAGCATCGCATTCATCAGTGGGATTAGGGTTAGTCTATGAATTAGGGTTGGGTGTAAGTCTCACACAAATCATTGTGATTAGAGTTAGTTTCTATCACACCATAAACATTACTGTTGGTCTCGCAAACACCAGAGGGATTGTAGTAGGTCTCGCATACACAAGATGAAATATGATTAATCTCTCCTACACGATTTAGTGTCAACTGTCAACCGTCGACCTGTCCCCGGTCGACATTAAAACAGGATACATAGAGTGTCAACTGTCAATCTGTCCACGGTCGACAGTAGAATAGGATAGAGTGTCAACCGTTGACCTGTCCCCGGTCGACACTAGAACATATGGAAAGTGTCAACTGTCAAACGTCGACCGGTCGACAGTAGAACAGGATAAATAGAGTGTCAACTGTCAACCGTCGACCTGTCCCGGGTCGACACTAGAATATATGGAAAGTGTCAACTGTCAACCGTCGACCTGTCCCCGGTCGACACTAGAATGTATGGAAAGTGTCAACTGTCAACTGTCGACCTGTCCCCGGTCGACAATAGAACGGGATACATAGAGTGTCAACTGTCAACCTGTCCCCGGTCGTATGTATGGAAATGTAGAAATAATTAATTCTGTAAAATTACTATACATTGATGTATGAATATGTTCATATTGGGTTTAGTAAAAGAACTACTTTATCCTTATATTGGAGTTGAGCCTTTTTTTTTTTTTTTTTTTGCTTGTCAAGAAATTTACATGTATACAGGTCTAAAGTATAGGTCTAAATTTGAAGCCCTTCACTCGCATACGGTGACGTCTCTATATAAGTGAAAAATTCTCGAATGGGACGTTAAACAACATACAATCAATCATCAACCACTCCTTTACCAGATCTAGAAGATGTGCAGCCAAAAATTCTTGCAATTTATCGCATATTACAACTACAAAAGCTACAAAGTCACTTGTATGATTATTCATTCTGCTACAAATGTAATATAAAAAAGAAGTTTATCCGACCTTGAACATTGTTTATGTCTGCAACGACGACCTTGAAAGTACTGGGCCAAGTAAATGCGTGTCTGCCAGAGGAAATGCATATTACTTTTGACCAAAGCATCTAGATTTTCAAGTTTTTTTCATGCATTTTTTTTTAATCTGAAAGAAGTGCCCCTTCACCATCTGCCTCCTGCATGAAATTTCCTAACATTAAATAAAATTCAAAATTTTAGGACCAGGTGGGTAAGAAAATGATTTTAAAAATAATATCGGAAAATATTACCAAAAGTTTATGAAAATGAACGGAGCTGGATAACAAGAAAAAAAGTTTATAAAATTAAAAAAAAAAAAAGAAAGAAAGAAACGAACAAAGCAAAACCCCTCCAAAAAACAAACTCAAACAAACAAAATAAGGTTATCTTCCATGGAACCCTTGGATGATAAATATAAATTAGCTTATCTTGTTTTAGAAGGTTTTATACTATTTTACACTGTAATAGAAGAGTCATTTGTTTCTGGGGCTCATACTTATTGTAAAATTATTTTTAGCTAAAAATCGAAGGTTCGTGCATATAAAAAAAAGCAAAAGAACCTTAGGTAGTATCCATTGAAATGTGTTCAAAGTAATGTCGCTGTCCTACAATGTATCACCGAAACAAACTAGAGATAATAACAAGCTAATGAGGACTGTGAAGTATTATTCTAAAAATCCTTCATCTCCTCTATTCAAGAAAAATTTTAATCATTTCGATGAATAAAAAAACATTTCCATGCACTAAATATATTCCGGAGGCCTGAGAAATCTTTTTCTTATAGACAAGGCTGCCATAACCTTTGAGAACGGTATCTATTAGCACATGTACTGGTAAACGTCTCTCTCAATAAGTTCTGACCACATTATGACAATGCGTAATTTTGATGTTTAAAACTGCACGATTCTCTTGTTGTGGCTTTTTTCTTCTATACCTCTGAGTTGGGCCTTGATTTGGACCAATCGTCTCGATGTAAATTTTAATTACTCGATGGCAGTAAATACAAAATTTACAACACTCGAAGTAACGCTACAAAGAAAAAAATTTAGCTTCCGGTCCAGTTCCAATGTAATTTTGCCCTCTGGGTATGGACCAAGGAAGTTTGCTGAAAAAAAAACAATCACTACTTTCAGTTGTTTTCAGTTGTTTGGACCAAAGAAACTTGACTTAACTCTACCGAGAAAAATAACTATTAGCTTCATAGCTTACGGTCCGGTTGTTCTAAAAAAATTTAACTGATTCCAACTACATGTGCCTGTATTTTTCGTATTATAACTATTTCGCCATTGTCCAGAAAAGGGACAGGTAGTTCTATTCATTTGAATCCAAGGGGTCTTTTACAGCTTGTTTGGCATACACTGTAGTTTCGGTCGTTTTTCGGAAATTTGAAAGTAAAAAATGTGAAAAGGTTGAGACAAACAGTAGAGACTGTAGAGCTCAAGATGACTGACGTACTAAATAATTATATGTAATAAATATATGCTTTTAAGCAATATTTTAAACTGTAAATGTTCGTGTAAAGGATTGGACAACTTGCATAAAATTAGGAAGCTTTTTTTATCCTTTCCTTTTTCTTTTTGAAATACATGTACTTTTAATGTTTTAAAAAACGAAGACTTCCCTAAGTTTCGTTTGCTTTTAGGGTTCACATCAGAAAATAAAAGGAAGGTTTCACAATCCTTTGATCTATTTTTATTCAGAGTATTTCAGTAACCTATTGTTTCTTCTAAAAAGAAAATGTGTTACAAGCACAATATTCAGTTTATTCTGAAGACTTCAATCGATTCCATAACATAGAGAATACATCAAACTCAAAGTTGCACATGTGAAAATGCTAGAATGTAATACATTGTGAAGCACATCCCAGTCCAAAAGTTCAGTACTTTATCAAACCACTTATCAAACTTACAAGTGGGAGGTTATTATCCGCAAATTGAAATGTCAAAGATCGAGAAACCAATGTTCATGTATGCAGGAACTGAAAATATTTAATTTTTTCTGTCGGAGCTAGCAAAAGTTGTTGGTAGACTGTAACTTTCTGGATGAAAGCCCCCATTTTGCTTCTGTGTAATATGTATGCAAAAGAGTCAAAAGCAGGCAGTTACCGAACGTTTGGTATAGAAAGCGGTTATCTACATGTACACTGTATTTACTGCTTTAAAATAGCTAAGTACAGTATTTTTAAACAATAAAAAATACACTTGGAAATCAATAATACATAACATACCCTGGTTAATTGTAACGAATTACCGTTTTTTCACAATCAAAGGGTTGTGTAATATTAAGATATTATTTTCACGTCTATTTCACAATTACAGCTATGGTCATTTACTGTAATGTAATAGTCTAAATTCTGTAGAAAGCTATTGTTAGCCACAAGCTGAAGATACTAAATATCTAGTAATTACTTTAATGTTCTGTTATGTAATATTCTCTATTTAACAGTAGGCTATAGTAAAGTACTGAGTACATAATATTGGTAATAATAATATTTAGTAATTACATTTAATCAATGACTGATTTGATAATCTCATTTTATGCCCCCGTAATCGAAGATTCGGGGGCATATAGTTTTTGCCCTGTCCGTCCGTCTGTCTGTCTGCCTGTTTGTCCGCAAAAACTTTAATAACTTTTGATTGGTTGGAGCTATGGCTTTCATATTTCACATGTGTATTCCTTGTGACATGACCTTTCTTTGGGTTTCATCATATTTGACCTTTTGACCTTGATCTTGGAGTTTGACCCACTTTTGCAAAATTTTATGAGACTTTAACCTTGGCCATAACTTTTGGTGCTTGGGCTTTCAAACTTCACATGTGTATTTCTTATGTCAAGACCTTTCTTGATACAAACATTATATTTGACTTTTTGACTTTGACCTTGGAGTTTGACCCACTTTTGGAAATGTTTATGAAACTTTAACCTTGGCTAAAGCTTTTGAACAGTTGGTGCTTGTGCTTTCAAACTTCACACGTTTGGTTCTAGGGCTTTCACATTTCACGAACATACATGTATGTATCAAGACCCTCCCTTGGACACCATTTGACCTTGACGTTTTACTTACTTTTAAAAATCTTCAACCTTCGCGATAATTTTTCAACGGTTGGTGGTAGGGCTTTCATATTTCACAGGTATATTCCTCGAGACAAGACCTTTCTTTGGGTACCGACATTTTTTATCTCTTTACATGGAGTTTGACTTGCATTTGAAAACTTTAACCTGTGCCATAAGCTGCCATACGGGGGCATAACTGTTTCACAAACACATCTTGTTTACAATAAGCTTAAGTTAACTACGGAGTAAAATTAGTACAATATCTAATAAGAGTTAATCAATTACTGTAATGTAAAAGTCTTTGTTTTACTTGAAGCCATTGTTACACAGAGTACAATGTAATAGTAAGCTATTGACATATAGAGTGCACTGTAATATTATAGTTTCTAGTTAGCTATTGTCACACAGGGTGCATTATAATGTAATATAATTTCTGTTTTACAGTAAGCTAGTGTCACACAGAGTGCACTGTAATGTAATATAGTTTATGTTTTACATTAAGCTTAGCTATTGTCACACATGCAGAGTGCACTGTAATGTAATTGTTTCTATTTTACAGTAAGTCATTGTCACACAGAGAAGAATCAGGATATTTTCGATAAGAAGGCCAGGAGACAGCTCATTATTGCCAGTATCTTCTGCTCCATCTTCATGATTGGAGAAGCTGTTGGTATGATGCAAATCATATTTCATCTCTCAACTTTTTTCCTCTCTCTCTCTCTCTCTCTCTCTCTCTCTCTCTCTCTCTTATAAAGATTTTGATTTCCATTTCAGGCGGGGCATTAGCTGGAAGTCTTGCTATTATGTCGGATGCTGCGCACCTCTTAACAGACTTCGCTAGTTTTGGAATAAGTTTAGTTGCGATGCATTTAACAATTAAAAGGAGGACGAAGAAATTAAGTTTTGGATGGTACAGGGCAGGTATGTTAACATCGTACATGTATACAGGTATTTTTTAAAATTCTTTTTGTCCCCCGCTTTCGCTAAGAGCGGGCCATATAAATTTTGGTCTCTCCGGTATGATAGATTTTCTGTCTGTCAGTGTGCAACACTAATTTCTGGACAATATCCCAAGAAGTCCTTTAGCTTTTGTAATGAAATTTTATATCATATCTCCCTATGACTTAAAGAAGACACCTTTTGATTCTGAGGTCAAAAAGTCAAAGGTCAAGGACATAAATTCAGATATTGCATTAAATGGTTTCCACATGATAACTTAAGCTTCGAGTTTTTGCAATGAACTTTGATATCATAACGCCATGCGACTTAGAGAAGACCCAGGTCAGAAGTCAAAGTCAAGGTCAGAAATTCATTTATTGCATAAAATGGGTTTTAAAGTCAAAAAATGATTAATTGTGGCATATTTAGCTAAGATTTTTCCTCAAATGGTAAAAACACCTTTTTTAGCTCTACTGGTCAGAGACCAGAAGAGCTTATGCGATAGTAAGGTGTCCGTCGTCCGTCCGTCTGTCTGCCTGTCCGTCTGTCTGTCTGTAAACAATTTTTTAAAATGCTACTCCTCCTACAGTTTTGGTCTGATTTCAATATAACTTGGCACACAAGTAGACTACACTAAGATACATTATTCTCTCTATCGGTTTCTGATTTCGGTGAACGGTGTTGCCATGGTTACTAAAAATAGAAATTTCTGTGAAATACATTCAAAATGCTACTCCTCCTACAGTTTTGGTCTGATTTCAATATAACTTGGCACACAAGTAGACTACACTAAGATACATTATTCTCTCTATCGGTTTCTGATTTCGGTGAACGGTGTTGCCATGGTTACTAAAAATAGAAATTTCTGTGAAATACATTCAAAATGCTACTCCTCCTACAGTTTTGGTCTGATTTCAATATAAATTAACACACAAGTAGACTACACTAAGATACATTATTCTGTGAATCAGTTTTTGATTTTGGTGAACGGTGTTGCCATGGTACTAAAAATAGAAATTTCTATGAAATACTTTCAAAATGCTACTCCTCCTACAGTTTTGGTCTGATTTCAATATAACTTGGCACACAATTAGATTACACTGAGAAACATAATTCTGTATATCATTTTTTGATTTTGGTGAAGTGTTGCCATGGTTACAAAAAAATTGAATTTCTTTGATATACTTTCAAAACATTACTTTACCTACAGTTTGGTCTGATTTTAATATAACATGGCATGCAAGTAGACTACACTGAGATACATAATTGTCTTAATTGGTTTTTTTTTTATTTTGATGAATAATGTTGCCATGGTAACTAAAATCGAAATTTCTCAAAAATTCTTTTAAATGCCTACTCCTTCTACAGTTTTAGTCTGATTGCAATTCATCTTGCCACAAAAAGAGAGTAAAACAAGGATTACTATTTATTTATTGCTGTTGCAAAGTTTCAAGTCCAAGTGCTACTTTTCTCTTCTTTAATTGTTATAAGTACAAACCAGTAGAGCTTCAGTCTCGACAGAGACTTCTGGTTCCATTACCTTAGAAAAAAAGAATTCGACATTCATTCCTCTGCTTCCATTTTAAAACACCAGTTCACCAGAAGTAAACGTAAAATGCACTACATATGTATACATGTGAAAGGTATCAATATGAATTTCAATTCTACTCATAAAATCTCTTTCAGAAATCATCGGTGCCTTGATGTCCATTTTGTTTTTATGGATACTGACAGGTGTCCTTGTCTACCTCGGTGTAGAGAGAATTATAAATCCAGATTACACCATCGACCCCCTCATAATGTTAATTACGGCATCAGCTGGAGTGGTCATCAATGTCATGTCAGTATTTCTTGTTATTTTAGAGATTGGCTCTTCTGTAAATAAGTTTATTCTTGTATGTTCATTTTTAAAAGGATACCCTGATAACGTCCCTCCTTAACCGTTTGCCTGCATATATACTGTATTAAAACTATATTATTCGCTCATTAAACTCATAAATCCGATATGCAGATCGCAGAATAAAACGTCTTTCTTTATTTGAATTTCTTGATATTCCGGTACACGGTGATTATTAGAAAAAAAAGTCAGAAATGAATCTCACCATCTTTTCAGTATGGGTACCACACTTCATCAGGGATCGGGCCATAACCATTCACATGGTGGCGGCTCCGGATACAGTCCCACCGACAGTGGTAACCAGAGTCCCGCGGAGGATAACTCACAAGAAACTAACAGCAGACATCTTTTAGATGATAAACAGAAACTGGTAGAATATGGTTCCATATCTAATCAAAACGTTCACGATGTTGAGAAAAATGACCATGCACATGGCCACTCACATAAGAAAGAGAAGAATATAAATGTCCGCGCAGCCTTCATTCATGTACTGGGTGACTTGGTGCAGAGTTTAGGGGTGCTGGTTGCTGCCGTAATTATTTGGTTTAAGGTAATTTTTGAAAGTCCAGATTATCTTGACAAAATTAAATGCTTTATGTACAGAAATCTCTCAATTTAATTGCATGTACAGCTTAGAGTATTTTACTTTGTATAGTGTATAATTCCTTAAATATTTACTTCAAATAATGCGAAATATTTATCAGAGTAGAACTGTGATAAAACAGACAAGAGTATAATTGAAAATACACTACTTTCGTTTTAAATGTTGTTCATTAATATTCTCTAAGATAATTTTTAAAAAATGTATGATACTAGCTTTAATAAAATTTTATCCGGACTTTCCATGAAGCCCATAACGATTTAATAAAATAACAGTAACGTTAAAAAGTGGTTGAGGCCCTGGCTCAAAAACATACTAGTATTTTGACATTAGACATACCAAAATTGATTTCCTTAAAAATGGTTCAAGGGCCGTTTTGACGGTTATCATTTCTTGTTCTTTGAAATTACATGTACAACAATATACTTTTTGATCGGATTTATCTACATTTCTGATATTAAATTCTGTAAATATATTCAAGTATACATGTATTATAAATCACTGCATTACAAAGGGCATTAATTAAATATGTATATATACAATTCTTTGTCTCATTTTTTTTAATTATCAATATTAATTCTGTTATAACTTCAGAAATTATCAATAATTATGTCAAACTTAAAAAAAGTTCCAGAATGTGTACCTGATCAGTACGTTACTCTACATTTTTTTTTTTAATAAAGTATATTGTCAACCTTTTATTTCTACTTTTAAAGATGTCTTAGTATTTTTGTATTGACGTTTTACAGCCGGAATGGAAAATAGCAGATCCCATTTGTACCTTTCTGTTCTCAATCCTCGTTATTTTCACCACCATGCATATTGTCAAAGACATCGTCATTGTCTTAATGGAAGGTAATCAATCGCTAAATTTCTTATTAAGCTTTGAGTAAAAATTTTCAAAGGATCAATTCACCTCCGGAAAAGAATCTTATATTTTACCAGTTGTGTGTGTGCAATATTTACTTTGGATTTTTTTTTTCAAGCTGTACTAATAAGTTTTTTTTTATTTTGTTTAATTTTATTTGACCCTTGAAGGTGCCCCTCGCACGGTGAACTTTGTGGACGTGACCCAAAGTCTTCTTGAGATTGACGGGGTGAGAGAGGTACACGACCTGAGAATGTGGTCCCTTTCCATGAACAAAATCGCCATAGCCGTACATCTAGCTGTTGGTTTGTAGCTTTTAAAAATTGTTCGAAAAATCCAGACCCGTAGGAAGCTATTTTAGTTTTGAGGTGGGATGGGGACAACTTTACAGAAATTCTTGAAAAGCCAAAAAAACAAACAAACAAACAAACAAACAAATAAACAAACAAAACAAAAGAAAACAAACAAATACGAAAAAAGAAAAGAAAATTCTGAGCACCATGGGGGAGCAACCGTAAATAAGCTAAGTTTTTCTTTTTTTTTTTTTTTTTTTTTTTTTAAGTATAATACATGAACATGTATGTACCGGCAATTTAAAATTTCTGAAGTTGGCACAATTGTGAATTTTTTTTTTTTTTTAGTAAATTGTATGTATACTGGCAAAATTATTGGGGGACGTGGGGGGGGGGGGGGTCACGGCCTATACAGTGTACGTCCTAGGGGCCTGCAAATCTTTATGTTGAAAAAAGCGATAATTTGAGTCTCTATCTAATATTTTTCAATTAAACAATTCTCAGTATAAGATTTTCAATTTACAAATGTACTTAGCTACAAAATGTAAGAAATTATTAATGTCAAAGTTTGCACATCCTGCACATCCTTGTACGTAACTCTCTCTCTCTCTCTCTCTCTCTTTCTCTCTCTCTCTCTCTCTCTCTCTCTCTCTCTCATTGCTTTGTCAATTCTTCAGTAACAGAAACTTAGGTATATGTGAGATCTATTGTTCCACTGTAGAGAAAGACAGGGATCCAATGCACGTACTTAGAGTGAGCACACGCATCGTGAGAAAAAAGTTCGGCATATCTGAAAGTGTGATTCAGATAGAGGAATACCATCCAACCATGTCTGACTGCCACGAATGTCGAGATCCGCCCGACTAACCAACAACAATGGAGCGGATCATTCTTAGATCATTCTCTATGGAAATTATGAATCTTGTTATACATTTATTGAGTGAAGATGTTGGATGCGCAGCGCATGGATATTTTAGAGAAATTATATGGTGGAGCGGATGGCTTACTTGTCATTTCTTAATGCCACATGATAATGAAAGAAGACATTATGTTAAAATGCTAGTATTTTAATCTATCTTTGCGCAAATTGATTTGTTTTCAATATAGATTGTGTAACGTATGGATGGAATTTCACTTAAATCTCACTTGAATTGCTTTAGCAATAATAGTAATGCACTTTGTAGCAAATTCATCATGAAGTATTTAAGACTAATTCAAATTGAATTAAAAACTACATTTGGGTATTTCATTTTGTGTTTTTTTTATCTAAAGAATGAATGAACATGTTAAATTTAGAAATTTTATTAGGTCACCTGAGTCACTCAGGTGACCTATTGCTATCCGTTTTTGTCCGTCGGCGTGCGTCGTGCGATGTGCGTTAACATTTGAACATTTTTAGCTTCTTCTCTGAAACCGCTCAACCAATTTCAACTAAATTTGGCATATAGCATCTATGGGTGAAAGGGAACAAAAATTGTGAATTTCATGGTCCCTGCCCCCCTGGGGCCTGAGGGGTGGGGCTAAAACCACCAAAATTAATGCAATCTTTAAAAATCTTCTTCTTTACTCCTGGACATCAAGCAGTCAAACTGTTGGCATCATTGTAATAAGCATTGAGTCCTCTACCAAAATTGTGAAATTCATGGCCCCAGGGTCAGGGGTTCTGGTGCTAGGGCGGGGCTATATAGATCATATAGTGAAAGTGCATTATTTCTTTGAAAATCTTCTTCTCTGCTCCTGGGTATTAAATAAACTAACTAAGTATATAGTAATGATGAGTAAGAGTACCTCTTCCAAAATTGTGAAATTCATAGCCCCAGGGGCAGGGGTTCAGGTGTTAGGGTGGGGCTCTATTGATTATATAGTGAAAATGCATTAATTCATTGAAAATCTTCTTCTCTGCTCCTGGGTATTAAATAAACTAAGTACATAGTTAGGATGAGCAAGAGTGCCTCTTTCAAAATTGTGAATTTCATGGCATCCTGGGTCAGGGGTTCTGGTGTTAGGGTGGGGCTCTATTGATTATATAGTGAAAATGCATTAATCCTTTGAAAATCTTCTTCTCTACTCCTGGGTATTATTGAAACACATTAAATACAAAGTTATGATAATCAAGGATGCCTCTTTCAAAATTGTGAAATTCGTGGCCCCTGGATCAGGGGTTCTGGTGTTAGGGCGGGGCTCTATTGATTATAAAGTGAAAATGTTTTAATTCTTTAAAAATCTTTTTCTCTGCACCTGGGTATTATTTAAACAAACTAAGTACATTGTTATGATAAGCAAGGATGCCTCTTCCAAAATTGTGAAATTCATGGCCCCGGGGACAGGAGTTCTGGTGCTAGGGCGGGGCTATATAGATCCTATAGTGAAGGTGAATTATTTCTTTGATAATCTTCTTCTCTGCCCCTGGGTATTGCTTAAACAGGCTAAAGTACATTGTTATGATACACAAGGATGCCTCTTCCAAAATTGTGAATTTTATGACCCCAGGTTTAAGGGTTCTGGTGAGGGGGGGGGGGGGGCTTCTATTGATTATAAAGTGAAAAAGCAAAATTTCTTTGAAAATATTCTTTTCTTCTTCTGGTTAAAAAAGCAAAGAAGCTAAGTGTATAGTTATGATGAGCAAGTGTGCGTCTTCAAGAGTAGTGAATTTCATGACCCCTGGGTCAGATGTGCTGGTGTGAGGGTGGGGCTCTTGATAATTTAGTGAAAATGCATTAATTCTATTAAATAATCCTGTTTGCTCCTTAGTGTTACGCAGATAAACAAAGTGATGATGAGCAAACATATGGTCCCAGGGTCAGAAGCTCTGGTGTTTTGGGGGTGGGGGGTTGGGGGGGGGGGCTCTATTGATAATATAGTGAATCTGTAGTAAAAATGCATTATTTATTTAAAAATCTTCTCCGCACCTGGGCATATCTGAGGCAAACAGAGTAAAAGTTTTTATAAGGAAGGGAATTTTTACCAGATTTTTGAACATCTGGACCATTTGGTCAAGTGTTCTGGTCCTGGCCAGGGCTCTATTAGTTTGTATTCTACTGAGAGGAGTTATTCCCCTTTGCCATTTACTTTTGATAATTTATCACTGTAAATAATGTACTTGAAAGGTAATTAGAATAAGAGAATTATGCAAAAACTTTTATTGTATAATACAAAAAGTACTTTGATAGTTTTAATGATCAGATAGACTTGTAAGTAGTAGATAAATAAAAATGAGACAAAAATAACTTGTCTTATTAAATATTCATCAAAGACCAAGAGATGCCAATGTAAGAGATTTCAACAAAGGATTAAAATAGTACAGAAGCATTGATAATTTATTAATATACTGTATAGTGATTAGTGATAAATGGGGAACAGATTAGAACCTAATTTATGAACTGTTAATGAATATTAAGACCAATTATTTTGTTGATCATGATCACCCTATTTTTCTTGCTTTTGGGCAACAAAGCTTCACCTTTCAGTTCATTTTATACTCTATGCATCCTTGAAACTGTTTTATCATACTCAGGTGACCGTTAAGGCCCTTGGGCCTCTTGTTATATATAAATAATTAAATATACATGTAATATATGCATACATTTTATATATAATTTGGTGTTATAATTTGGTGTAATAATGAGTTAATACACTAAAAGGTACAAACTAAAGGTAGGTCAAATGGCTCCCAATTGTTCTAATAATGGCACATAAATTATACTGTAATGCTGACAGTACAAAGTAAAAAAAAAATATATAAAAAATTGAATGACAAAGTTTCATATTTCATTTTCATAAGGGAATCCAGCATGTATGAAGTATGATAAAAGTTATGAATAAAAGTTTAACAGTGACATTTTCTTTTTCAATTTATTGTAAACTGACTGATTCAGATTTTCTAAGGTCAACTTACAGGACCTGAGAGAGGTCAAAAACCTCTCTTTCTTTGATCACACAATCTTGTCCTATTGATTTGCGTCCGTGAAATACAGATTTTTGGGTCAGAAGTGTTTTTCTGTAGGCATGTACGAGATGGACCCGAAGATTCGAAGGTATTTTTAATGTTTGATCACAGGTACTTGTGGACAGGACCCCCCCCCCCCCGATATTCAACCCCGGGGCTTGTTGGACATTTTTTTTCCACAAATTATATTTATAGCATTTATTCATCATGTGTACAATAGGAAAAAATCGTGAAAACCCCAAAATAATCGTTCCACACAAAAATACCCTACTATACATTATTAGAGAGATAATGTATAGTGGGGTATTTTTGTGTGGAACGATTATTTTGGGGTTTTCACGATTTTTTCCTATTGTACACATGATGAATAAATGCAATAAATATAATTTGTGGGAAAAAAAATGTCCAACAAGCCCCGGGGTTGAATATCGGGGGGGGGGGGGATCCTGTCCACAAGTACCTGTGTGTTTGATTAATTGCATGGCCGTAGGAACCGGGGGGGGGGGGCACGGGGGGGGCCGTGCCCCCCCAATAATTTTGCCGATATATAGATTACTATAGTAAACATAGATAATATAAGCATGTGCCCCCTCAATAAAACCGCCTGATGACCTTTTTTTTTTCTTTTTTTTTTTTTTTTTTTTTGCTTGTCAAGGAATATTTGGTAGTTGACGACCCTTTTTTTTATTTTTTTTTTTTTTGCTTGTCAGAAAATTTTTGGTAGTGCCCCCTCAACTGTCAACTGAAAAATGTTTGGCTGTGCCCCCCCCCCCCCCCAACTGAAATTGCTTCCTACGGGCCTGAATTGATTGTTGTTTCATGTCCCTTGCGAGAATTTTTCACTTGTATAAGGTTTCACTAAATACCGGTGAAAGGCCTCAAATTTACACCTATATACTCGGCACTCAGGGCCTTGAGCAGTGAGGTTCTTTATCGTCTACCGTTTCAATTCATTTTTGACATAAGAACTCTTAATTAAAGTAAAACTAAAATGGTTTGTAATCTTTTAAGTGTTCTTATAATGCGGTACGTAGAGTATACATACATTGTAAATGTATATTGTTAGATAAAAACAGACTTTAAAATCAATATTTACAAATTTCATAATATACAAATAGAATAATAAACCAATTATCCTGAGTATATATGTTAAAGATTGTGAATTGTTCTTAGAACAGGTGCATTTGGGTTAAATACAAGCCAGTACATGTACATCAGGGACATAAATAACTTTATTATTTTTGTAATCGCATCTGCTTTTATATCTCTCTGATACAGTATATTATATGTATTTTATGTAAAACAGTAAACAGAGTACTAAATAATTTATACTTTGGTGCATTTACTTAAAACAAACAAAATAAGCTGAATTAGAAAAGAAGATGTGTAATAGTGCTAAAAAAATTTCAAACCTATTTCAATTTATAGGAGTTAGAATACACTACTTTATCAGTTGATGTACGTACAAATAAAAAGCATCGGGTTCGGTATGCAAAGTATTCCATATAAAAACAAACGTGTTGGGTGATTGACTGATCAAATGCGGAAAGTTATGACTCAGACACTTAATTCTAAGCACGAAGTAATTTTTTAGTGACTAAAATCACGGGATGCAATGACGGACCTTTTAATTTCACCCTCCCGAGCATCTCCACTATTGGGGGCGTCTCCGGAACGCAACCCATCTCCCATTTTGGGCCATAGATGTTTTTCCGCAGGCATGTACGATAGAGAGGTAGATCCCGAGATTCGGAGGTATTTGAATTTTAATAACACTTTCGTTGCTTTCATATTTTTCCATCACTGAATAATGTTGTATGACGCACAAAACACGAAGTTTTAATGTCTTTCAGCTGTCGAGTTCACAACGTTCATTTATTACATGTACAGCTGATGTATACGTAACAATGATGTGATGATTAAACAGAGATAATACCGGTGTTGCTTGTCTAGCAACGAAAATAGGAAAAAAAATGCGGGAAATCTTTGATATTTAACTACCGTGAGCTCACAAAATTTTATCCCCCCCCCTTTTTTTTTCAACTGTACAATTTCTGTATCCAATGTTTCTTTCTTACAAAGTTATGGAGCAGACTCGGATTAGACACTTTTTCTATTAGTTACCTTGACCTTGTCTAAGTGAATGTCAGACACCTCAGCCCAACGACACATTCCCCTAAGGACCTTTAGGCCCAATGACACATTGGTCAGACGGGTGGGCCCAATTAAGCAAAATTTCATTAGGAATTATATTACACATTTTCAATTTTAATCTTAAATACCTGCATGTCAAGGAGCAAAAGATCGCCAACTTTGCCAGTGAATAAATCCCGATTTGTACAATAAAGTTGTATTTTTGTAAAATACAAACTCTAAAAACACCTTTAATCTATCATTTCCGAGTGGTTTTACATTTGCCAAATAATCCATTACTTTGCACCGGCGATTTTTGTAAACCCCTACTTTTTGCGTGAAATACGCACATTTTTAAGCATCTGCGCATGCTCGTACCCCCGTTTGGGGGTATGGATTTCCCATTTCCGTTTACCCCCGTTCGGGGGTTCGACCAGACTGGTACATGTAATAAATGAACGTTATGAACTCGACAGCTGAAAGACATTAAAACCATAACACATCCTCAGCTTTTGAATAAGATCAGCTTCCAATATTTTCTCATCAGAGGGTTAGGGACTGGAAGTGAATTACACACTTTTTTTTGTGCCAATGACCTTGAACCCCATATGAACTTGGATCAAAATCACACACCCTCAGATTGTAATTAATTTTTATGTCACCTTTAAGCCAGAGCAACACTTAAATATTACTTTGCCTTGTGTTTGTCTGTCAATCTGTCTGTCACACCTTACATCTTGAAAACTGTTGTGAAACAGTATGAAAGGATAATAAAATAATAAATGAAATGTTCCAAGTAATGGATCCTGTGGTGTACTTGGCATCATTAAAGCCATAAATAAAAGGGAAAGGGTGATTTTTTTTTATAAATTTATACTAGCATTAAAATTAATACAAAGAAAAATAACATCATGGACAGTCAGTGAGACTGATTTAGATATTATTTTATCATAAAAGTTGCAATCAAATGGAAATTCTAGTGTAATTATTGTAAATTCAGATACATGTAATACATTTATTTCATAAATGACCTTGAACTTGCCCAAATGACCCTGAAGCAATTTCTTGACACATGTCAGGTCATAAGCAACTTTTGTGTCATTACATGTAGTATGAGCATCCAATGTTTCTCTATTACATGTACTAAGTTATGGTCATGATTGTGCAAACAGATGGATAGACAGACATACAGACAAGGTGATTCCTATAAACAGTACATGTACCTTCTACAAGCTAACTTTGATGGGGGTACAGAATGTATGAAAAGCATAGCTCTGTTCAAGGGGTGAGCTTTATCAAACATTTCCAGTGAGAAGTATTTTGATACAGTCCCTAACTCCATACTTTTAAAATAAATTGTTTTCAGGTTTTATGTTAACCATAGTTCTTGTGTCATCGAATATTGCAACGTTTGACATGCCATAGTCATTCATGATTTAATACAGAGTAAATATATAGGATTAAAATAAGAAAGTATATATTAAAGTTTTCTACTTATATGTTATCAATATTGATCTACGATGGTTAGTTCTTCCACACCCCCCCCCCCCCAAAAAAAAAAATTGGAAGGCCTAAGTCATCAGTGATTTAGATCCTGTTACATGTAGCCAGTCTGTAACACAGTATTCAACATATGTCAGACCAGTCTCTTTCTAATGCAATTTTTCATGATTATAGTGTTAGTAACATAGGCATATATATCTTACCAAACCACAGACACTGGAAGCATGGATAACATCCAGCTCTTACCTCACCCCAACAAGACAATGAGTCTCTATTTTCTTGAAAATATGTGATTTCTCCATCAATTCCATCTACTTGTATATGTCATTCTCTGCAATCGGTTTTTACTTTAAGTTTTATTGAGGTTTAATTAGAATTAGGCCATATACAGTATAATACATGAAGGATAATACAGGGATTTTGAAGTATAAATCATATTTGCAGATGAGGCAGGGAGTTAAAAAATGTTAATATAAGCATTGAATTACTATTTTTTGAAAGATGTCTCATTACTGCAACGGTGTTACTGCACAGCAAATTTTCTTATTAACATGCTAATGCCAGCGACTCAATTTGTTTGCACACATCATTTCAATTATGAGACTACATCTTTCAAAAAATAATTCATTGATTAAATATCTGCTGAGCAAGTAAAAGAAAAAAAAATAATCTGCTTTTGAAATGAAGTAATTAGAAATATATGATATTGAACGAGCTTAAAATTTAAAATATTTTGCATTTTCATGATTTTCAATACAGCTTTATAACAGGCAGCTGATGTATGGATGTTGTATCCCCCCCCCCCCCCCCATGTTCTGAAATTTTTTTTAAAGACATGATAACTTATCAAAAATACATAAATTCCAAAACATATCATGCCAAAATTCTGATACCTGATATTATGTCCAATTTTTCTTTAAGAGATATCTGTACTGGTATATAAAAACTAGATACAGTATAAATTGTACTTTAAATTTCATGGAGTCTTATTTTTTTTAACTGTGCAGTAAAATTAAGTTTTTTTGTTGTAGCATTCTTCATGATATTGAAGAAAGTTCGGAACAAGGTACAGTACTCTTTGCAATTATAAAAAGTCTGAAATATTTTGAAAATATGAATATGGAATGCTATATACTAAAACCCGAAGACCATAAACTGAGAATAGACTTAAGTCAAAATTTTGATTTTTAATATCTTGAATTTTATTTAATGTATTTGGCTAATGCTTAAAAATTTGCAATTTTAAATAACAATTAAATTCAAATATATGATAAAATTTTTGTTTCATTATCAAAATTATTTCAAAAGTTATGTTGGTTTGAAATTTTGACTTAAGTCTGTTCTCAGTTTATGGTGTTGGGGCCAGATGATGTGCAGTGTCATCTAGTGCTTGACTCTAAGGTTGTCTTCTGTGACGTCATCAGATTGTTACATTGTGATGTCATTTGTATAATTTGTGACATCACTGCCTTTGTTGAAAATCAGTTATTTTCAAAATGCCACCAGATAAAAGAGCTAGTTTGGTAGCTTTACAATCAAGAAAAAGTCTTTGTGGGACATCCAGATCTACTAAAATAAACAGTAAAGAGGGGATTTTGAGCAACTTTATAATTGGGAGCAGTGCAACATTTTCAGACAACAAGAGTTTTGGATCACTTCATAATATTAGTGAATTTGCACACTACAGTAAGTTTTACCATTGATAAAGACCTTGATCATAAAAGTCTATAATTTTCTTCAATTTTTATGTAGACTTTTTCCATGTGTGCCATATAACTGGGAAATATTTTCTGACATAAGTACAGGTATGTTACTTTTCAGAATGACAATTATGTTTTATATGTCGTTATAAGATTGAATACATGTATGTACATGTACCCGTATTCAGTTTGCCAGTACAGTTGAGCTTTGGTATCTCAAACACTGATATCTTGAATACTATGGATATGTCAAAATGATTTGGAAGTCCCAACCACTTATTCCTTAAGTATTTTACCCCTGATATCTCGAATCCTCGGATATCTTGAAGTTTTTTCTCGATCCCATTAAATTCGAGATAACGAGGTTTGACTGTACTTCCTACACTAACGAGTAACCTCTAAGGTTTTTAGATCACATTATAGCAGTACAGATTTGAGAACGTTCCAACTTGGGAAAATGTAGTGCACATTACAATTAATGCATGTAGAAATTAAGGCTTTTCAGATTTTTGGGAAGGGAAGGGGAAACACAGTATTGAAATGGGGGAACACTATATCAATTTGAAAATATTTTAAATGATGAACATTCATTTTTAGCTCACCTCGACGAAGTCGAGATGAGCTTATGCTATACCCCCGGCGTCGGTGTCGGCGTCAGCGTTAGCGTCGGCGTCCCAGGTTAAAGTTTTAGGAGCAAGTCCCATTCCCAAGTAACTATAAGCCCTACCTGGACCAAACTTGCATGGATGATGCATCTAGGGATGGACACTACCAAACTTGCTTCGGATGCTGGATCTGACCTAGATTTTCCGGATGAGTGACCAGGTTAAAGTTTTAGGAGCAGGTCCATTCCTAAGTAACTATAAGCCCTACCTGGATCAAACTTGCATGGATGATGCATCTAGGAATGGACACTACCACACTTGCTTCGGATGCTGAATCTGACCTAGGTTTTCCGGATGAGTGACCAGGTTAAAGTTTTAGGAGCAGGTCCATTCCCAAGTAACTATAAGCCCTAGCTTGACCAAACTTGCATGGATGATGCATCTAGGGATGGACACTACCACACTTGCTTCGGATGCTGGATCTGACCTAGATTTTCCAGATGAGTGACCAGGTTAAAGTTTTAGGAGCAGGTCCATTCCCAAGTAACTATAAGCCCTAGCTTGACCAAACTTGCATGGATGATGCATCTAGGGATGGACACTACCACACTTGCTTCGGATGCTGGATCTGACCTAGATTTTCCAGATGAGTGACCAGGTTAAAGTTTTAGGAGCAGGTCCATTCCCAAGTAACAATAAGCCCTACCTTGACCAAACTTGCATGGATGATGCATCTAGGGATGGACACTACCACACTTGCTTGGATGCTGGATCTGACCTAGATTTTCCAGATGAGTGACCAGGTTAAAGTTTTAGGAGCAGGTCCATTCCCAAGTAACTATAAGCCCTAGCTTGACCAAACTTGCATGGATGATGCATCTAGGGATGGACACTACCAAACTTGCTTCGGATGCTGGATCTGACCTACATTTTCTGGATGAGTGACCAGGTTAAAGTTTTAGGAGCAGGTCCATTCCCAAGTAACTATAAGCCCTACCTTGACCAAACTTGCATGGATGATGCATCTAGGGATGGACATGACCACACTTACTTCGGATGCTGGATCTTACCTACATTTTCCAGATGAGTGACCAGGTTAAAGTTTTAGGAGCAGGTCCATTCCCAAGTAACTATTAGCCCTACCTGGACCAAACTTGCCTGGATGATGCATCCAGGGATAGACACTACCACACTTGCTTCGGATGCTGGATCTGACCTAGATTTTCCACATTTGAGACCAGGTTTAGATTTAGGAGTAGTCCCATTCCCAAGTAACTATAAGCCCTACCTCGACCAAACTTTCATGGATGATGCATCTAGGGATGTACACTAACCAACCTGCTTCGAATGCTGGATCTGACCTAGATTTTCCACATGAGTGAATTTTAGCCATATTTTAACCAAATTAGCATGGATGATGTATCTAGGGATGGACACTTCCAGACTTGGTTTGGATTCTGAATCTGACGTACATTTTCCAGATGAGTGACCAGGGTAATTTTTTTGGAGTAGCTATATAATATTATGGCCTGTTATGATTAAACTTGCATAGATGGTGCATCTAAGGATGAAAACTTGCAGTCTTGCTTTGGATGTTGGAACTGACCAAAATTTTCTTGATTACTAAACAGGTCAAAAGTTTTTTGAGCAGGTCTATAATTAAATCCAACTTGCATGGATATTGATCTTGGGATGTACCCTAACTAGAAAAAAAATATGATGTGAAATTTGCCTTACATGTAGATAACATTCGTCGAGGTGAGCTTCGTAATCTTTGATTACCTATGTTTAAAATATGTGAGCTAATTAAATGAGGACAAATAGAAGAAATATGGCATTACAGTGTAGTTATGATTTCATACCTTTTTCATTGGACAAGTTGTCTCAGAAAACCTTTTCTTAATTTGTTTTCACATTTTAGGACATCATTGCCATACAACAAAAGAGAAGACTGGGGTTGACAAGAAAGCCAGGAGGAAGTTGATCATTGCCAGTACCCTATGTCTACTCTTCATGGTTGGAGAAATAGTGGGTATGAAAGAGAGATTGTTTTTCTTTTCTTGTAATTAAGAAATATTGTGCCCAGACTTTGTGAATAATTTCTATATTAAATGAACATTGATTCAGATCACTAGCCAATAGGATGAATAGTACATGTATGTCATTTGATGCAACACGTGTATTCATTTAGTAGAAAATATAAGGAAATGTTTATGTTTACATAAGTAAAGCATTTTTAATTGGAAAGTTTATTTAATAAGTTATGACATTTGATTTTTCTCACTCAGAAAATTTCATAAAGTACTTCATAGATTGATTATTACCAAACATCAATGTAACAGTATATATTTGTGAGAATGTCTATATATTTGTAGGTGGGGTACTTGCGGGAAGTTTAGCCATCATATCTGATGCTGCACATTTACTGACAGACTTTGCGAGTTTTATGATAAGTCTACTTGCAATAATGCTTGCCTCTAGATCCCCCTCTAAGAGATTCAGCTTTGGCTGGTACAGGGCAGGTAAGAAAGGGGAAAATTGACTTTGTGAATGTTGCATGTTTCTCATATGACTGGGAAATAAATAAAGAACAGGGAAATTAGCAGTCAGTAATCGCTCTTTATTGTTACAAAAAATTATTACATCACTGACTCTTTAAAATGAGTCACCAGTTTATCACCGTTATTATATGTAATTTATTTGTTATTTTGGTTGTTAGACTTTTCTAGAACTTTTGATCAAATTGCTTTTGTTAGCAAAGATTTTAAAACTTTTGTCATCCTGTGAAAGTTAGTTTTATTTATTTATTTTATTTTTCATTTATTTATTTTTTTGGCCTATCTAGAAATTATGCACCACCGTTTTGTTTATGTGTAGGATTAAAGCTCTTTAATGTCCATCTTATAAGAGTTGTTTTGAAAGGCAGTCATCAGAATTTCTTGAGTGTTTGTACTCATGTAAGAAAAACTATTTCATATGATAAAGATAAGAAAAATGCAGGTGTATATACACTGTATTCTTAATTAAAAATATTTTTCCACATGTAAATTATCATAAATACCCCTAATCAAGGAATTTCAAAGTCCATGTGACAGGAGTACAGTCGCACTGAATTTTTTTCTTGCAGAAATACTGGGCGCTTTGCTGTCAATTTTGTTCTTGTGGATATTGACGGGGGTGTTATTTTATATGGCTGTAAGAAGAGTAATTCATCAAAACTATACGATAGATGCCACCATTATGTTGATCACTGCAGCATGTGGGGTGGCATTTAACATAATGTAAGTATAACAGCTGTATAAGGCCATATTGCATTGTTAATCCATGTTAAAACCTCTACAGTGAACTGTTCAATATCTTTTTATTATCTCTTTTATAAATACAATAAACATGTTGTATTAACAAGTTAAATGGATCTTTAATTTTTTAATTTTACAGAATGGGCATATCATTAGGACATGGCCATAATCATTCACACAAAAAGAGTTCACCACAGGTAAAGAGAAAGGGGATTCATTTAAGGTTCAGTTACAGTTCTCAGTTAGAGTTCTTTTATTCCTTGTATCAACAGATACATCAGATAAACATAATTACATACATGTAATTACATATAGTATATACATAATTGACATGGCTAAAGAAGAGAATATAATATAATATATATTACAATATATTCACACAATTTAAAATGACATTGAGATTAAATGTATACATATGTATATATATTGTTTTGACATAGTAAATCACTCTTAAAAAATTAATATAATAGTTCTAATTTACTTTCCTGTATATGATTTGCTTCTCTTAAAAAATTTCCAAGACCCGGCCCTTAATTCCTCTACATTTCGAGCGCTAAATAGTTGTATTAATTTATATACCCTACTGTTTTGATAATAATATCTTTTAATATATTTCTTCCTTGTATTTTCATATGTTGGGCACTGTAAAATAAAGTGAAATTCATCTTCTATTTCATCCAGATTACATAATATGCATTTTCTATCATTTAATTCTACTAGTATTCGTGTATCTACCCCTTTCAATATATAAATTGTGATCAGACATCCTAAATTTTGAAATTATTTCTCGATTTTTAACACTTAAAGGCTTGTTAAGGTAATATTGAAGGCAATGCGTATCTGTAAGATATTTGTATAAATTAGCTTTGGGCATAATGTTAATTTCTGCTCTTAATTCTTGAATGTAAATATCTTTCAATCTTTGTTTAATAAGTTTAAATGCATATTTTTCATCATAATATGTATGTATCAAGAAGTTTAATCCTAATTTATCCAGTTCTCTTTTAATGTTTACAATCCATTCATCATTTTCCTGTACCATTTCTTCATAACACGTCTTAAGAATACAATTTTTTCATTGATACTCTTATAAGAGGGATAACTCTCAGTGGGATAAATTTAATGTCTATTACTCCTTCATAAAATTGTCAAATTGAAAGGCCATTTTTGTAAAATTTTGCCCTCTAAGCTATGCTGAAATGGTTTGCATTTCATTTATAAATCAGAATTAATAATTAATAATAAATAATAGTTGTAATTCTGCTTTTGATTTCATTAATAACAGATAGATATTCCACAAAGCAGTCGACAGTTATCAGTTCAAGAAGATGTTACGCATCCATCATATGGAGCTATAAATAGTAACACCAGTGAGACTGAACCTCTGATACAGGTCAAGGACACTCACAAAGAAAACATCAATGTCAAGGCTGCATTCATTCATGTTGTTGGAGATCTGATTCAGAGCATTGGTGTCCTTATTGCAGCTTTTATTATATATTTCAAGGTACATGTACATCAGTCTTCTGTCACAGTTATGTTTTGCCATTTTTTATGAGAATTCTTAAAAAACAAAGAAAATATACATGTAAAACTGTATGTATTATGTAATATAAGTATATTTATGTGTAAATTCTTTTACATAGAGATAATTTGAAATACATACAATTTTCTCGAATTTATTTTTTATTACATGTAGTAAATGGACATTTACATATACATGTATTTTAAGAGCCGTTCTCTGTAATGACTTGAACTTTTATATAGGAGCTGTTGCACGCATAGTCTCAGAATTTCTCCAAACTCTCTATGATAAAAGTCCTTGATAACGTAAACTGAAATCAGGCAAAAATTGGTTGCTACGTGTCATGGTTACCATAGCAACATGTCCTAAAATTTGAAAAATGGAATTTTTCAACATGTTCAGATTCCCATAGTTAACGTTTGCAGCAAAGCAAACAAGTGGCAATGACTGTTTCTGAAAGTTGAAGGCCTGGTATCTTAAATGCATGATAAACATGTTTGGTAAATCAACTATTACATATGTTATTATGGAAACAAAGTATTTAAAAGTAATAATTTTGTTCATTTGATTTTATAAAATCATACACTTAAGAATAAAAACAATTATAGGTTGAAATGCAAGCAAATAATAGACAAGAGATCCTTGTAACATATACCAAAGACAAAATATGATATTTCTTATAGGTTGGCAATGGTTACCATGGTTTTAATACCACGAAGGGATTTTAAATTTACTCTCTTAGTGTTTTAATCTTATCCTATCTTTTTAAAAAGAATATTTCTATATAACTGATGATCAATTTTTAAAGGCAGTGGTGTGACCATAATTTTCACATTTCAAAAAAATCAATTTCAATTCTTTAAATAGTGCATTGCTATGGAAATAAGGAGAAAAAAATGCATAAAAATCTGAAAAAATACTCTGCTACCTTGGATACGTACCCTTGTATGTTGATTCCCAAAACTTTAATGATTGATATATGTGAACATTACTAACCTGATTTTCAATTTTGACTACCACCCAATCTCTAACTGGATGCATAAAGCTGGCACATAGGGTCTAATATTGACATAAAATTAACAAAATTGAACCTTTTCTCTTCTTGGTAACCATAGCAATAGTGTTGTATTTTTCAACAACTTTATCAATATATGATATTCAACTTTAGTTCTACCAGATAAATACTATTCAAGGTGAGCCAAATAACATGTTTCTTGATTAAAAGGTTAGTAAATTCCTAAAGCAGCAAAAAAATATCACTTCAAACAACTAGTACGTTGTTTCCATGGTTACACTGCAAAGTAACAGTTAATCTCAATTTTTCTTATGTTGTCGGTGTTGCAAGGTCCTAAGGATGTATATGTGCCAGTCATGAATTTTATTGTTTTTCCTCAAGAAAGTAGCATTAACCCAATCATAGCAACAGATTTTACATGGTGACACTTACTATGGCAACCATGAAAGTTATTTTTAGAATAATATTGGCAATACCTAATAACATAAGGTCAAATATTTTTCATTGTTTTTCTTAGGTTGTTGATTGAGTTTGATCATGTAACATCTATTATTTGTGAATATTGAGCGTTTTTCAGCATTTTTCAGCATCAAAAATGTATTCCAAATGTACCCATGGTTACCACATACTTAGGGATAAATTCTAAATAGTTTCTTTATAGCATAAGTAGCAATAAGGTCTCATGTTTCTGGGAGAATGGTTTATTTGTTTTTCTTAGTCTTTATTAAGGTTTAATAAAGATTTGAAGTAGCTGAAAAACTCAATTTTTTCAACTTTTCTGGCTGTTACCATGGCAACCAAGACACATAGCAACGAAATTTTATTTGATATATGTTTCTGGTGTCAAGTTGTAATAATGGGCAAAGTTTCATCAAAATTGGTGACCATGCGTGGTGAAGTTTAAGTGGTTACAGAGAATTGCTATTAATTGTATACAAATATCCTGATGAAAATATTTATCACTTAACATTTCAGCCTGAATGGCGACTAGCAGACCCTATCTGTACTTTTGTCTTCTCACTGATCGTTATGGTGACAACATTTAAAATATTTTTGGACATAATCACTGTGCTAATGGAAGGTAAAGCTTATTTTAAAAAGAATCATTTTTCTTGTCTCTAAATTATATATTTTTTTTATATCTATTTAAGTTCCTGCAGTGCATATTTTTATTCAGTAAAGTAGCAGTACCTGAGAAATGCTAGTTTTCTTCTATAGTAAAAAGTCCTGGAGACTTGAGAATTTACTTCTCTATATCCGTTACATGTACTTGTTCTATCAAAAATGATATGTTCAATATATTTAAAAAATTGAGAACTTTGAAAATTTGTTATAAAAGATATAATTTTCATTATTTTTAACCACTACAGGACACAAAATCAGTTTGCTAATTCAGCAAAATTGCTGTGTCAGAGTTTATTTTGATTTACAAGGTATTAAGAATTTTGTTGGGGATTCCACAAAAATTCACTACATATATCCATAAATTTGCTATATGTGTACATGAGTATTTATACTAAATGAGTTTTACTGTAAAGCCAGTCTGATTAAAATCAAACCTTCACTAGTAGCTCCTTTTTATTTTGATTGACGTGGCAATAAAAATAAAAAGGAGCTAGTGAAGGTTTGATTTTAATCAGACTGACTGTATAGCTAAATGATGGATTGTTATAACGATGTATTATAGATCATCCACTGTACAGTACAATGTACAGAATGAAGTCAGCATATGTGAATAAGTGAAGGTACAGTGTATATATAATTATCTATATATACCGGTATATATGTCTTTTTACAGGAACACCAAGAGGTATTGATATCACTTCTGTAAGGAAGACTTTCCTTAAATTACCAGGGGTTAAAGATGTTCACGATCTCAGACTCTGGTCATTATCCATGGATAAAATTGCTCTGTCGGTCCATTTAGCTGTTGGTAAGTTTTTAATTGTGTTTGTGGAAAGTGGAAAAACTAGTCATAAGATTGATCTCAAGTTTAGTGGGTTTTGTCATCTGAGGTTTAGTTTGCCATGTTCAGACCATCTCTGTACATTCATGAGAGAGGTAGAGAGATGAAAAACTTGGCCCGGAAGATTTGTTAATATATTTATTGCCCATCAATATTACTCAATTTTGTAGCAGTTATCTTTCTTTGCAGTTCTTGTGTAAACATTCTTTATTTATCTGTAATTTTGATTTTCTCATTTAGATTCCAACACAGATCCTCTGAAAATTTTGAAACTAGGTTCCACAGTAGTACGTCTGAAATATGGAATTTCGGAGACCACAATTCAGGTAGAGGAGCATGTACAAGGAATGGATGACTGCACCCACTGCCAGGACGCAAAATAGATGAATGACTGAACGCATTGCCAGGACGCAAAACAGATATGGTGAAAAAGGCCTATTGTATGATGTTGTTACATACATGTATTAGAACTTTATCTGGTATGTTTATTATAGTAAGAGAAAGGTGTTGTGAATTATCCATATGTTTGCATCAAGATGCTATACAAGGATGAAATATGCAAATTTGAATGACAAAATTTCATAATTAGTGAGACCATACATGGTCTTTATGCAGTTTTATCCATGTCAAATTTTACCAGTCATTTTAGTGTAGTTGTTGTGAAAACAGTTTTACTATAATATTTTTTTTTTATAAAAATAATTGCTTGAAATCTCAATTAGAATGTACACCTGTAAATATGTTATGAATATATGTATATGTATCTGTGATAAAGAGTGACTTTTAAGAACTACATGTATTAATAGAGTAGAACGTGAACGGGTATATATGTGCCTGCAGGCATCTGTTAAAAGATCAGATCTTTTTATTTTATTTTTCTGTAAGTTTTAATTAGTGTCATAACTTTTACCTGTTAGAATTTTAATTATTATCATTACATTCATTAGTTTTACCATTCCAAGACATCAGCTTATATCCAAAGACAACTCTCTGGCATTGTGCAATCTGCTTTACTGAGAGATTATTGTTATCTAAACAATCATCACATTTGTTGTTATACCCTTGAGAAGATTTGGGGTAGATTTTTTGTATTTGGTTTGTCTGTGTCAAGAGTGTTAACCTTTTATTAACAGTTCCTGGATTAGAAAAGACTCTGGAACAACTGTTCAATGTATTTTATTTATTATCCATCAGCATGATGGTACTTGATGAAGTATTAAGTATAGTTGTATATATGGAAAATCATCATCATTATCGTGGTGATCTACAATAAATATGAAAACCTTACCTACTGTACATTCACACATTAAATATTTAAATGAATTTTTTATCAAATATTTAATTCATAAATCAATTTACTTAAAATATAAAAGTTATGATAATTAAAATATCTTACCATGTAGATAGAATTAAAGCTCCTAATTAAAAGGAAAAGTTACTGACAACAACGTCTTGTGGTAACGTCTGTCTATTTCAGAAAGTTTTGATCAATGATTTATAATATTACTGCATGCAAAGTTTAATAAAATTCGCGCCAGCCATGTGCAATGACTGGAAAAACTAGTCAAACACACCCATACACATCCCATACTCAACATATGACATCAGAGGTCATGAACTTACAGTGTACATGTACAAATTATGAATGAATGAGATGAGATGATACATGTGCAAATTATCATATGAAGTAACATATACATGTAGTAAATAATAATCCGGTGATATCTGTGTATATTTTTTATTTATAAAGAGACATCTTTTTGTACGTCTGTCTACAATTATTTTTCACATTGTCAACAACAGAAACACTGTGCATCTTAACTTCAGTTCAATGTTATGCTTCAAGATTAAAGGGTGTACATGTATGCAAATTTGCCTTTTCTGTCATTTTCTACCATACGTCTCAATGGTGTATTCAAATACATACCTTTGATTTTTTTTTTAGCTCTACTGGCCCCAGGATCATGAAACTGACTTAAACTTAAGTCAAATTTTCAATCACCTGTAAGATTTTTATTAATTTTCAACTTAATCTTTAACTTTGCAGAGAACAGCAATGGTGATGCAATATGAAAAATATTTTCGTTTTGGTTCGTTTGTCTTCTACATTTCAGTTTAACATATAAAGATTTTGACTTAAGCTTAAGATATTTCATGATCCCAGGACCTGGTCAAAGACCGAAAGAGCTTATGCATTAGTAAGGTGTCTGTTGTCCACCCCTGTGTATAGGTGTCTGTTTGCTATCCATCTATCTGTGAATAATTTTTAAAAATGTGACTCCAAGTATAGTTTTGGTACACAAGTAGACAATATTAAGATATATTATGCTTTTTACCATTATTAAATTTTGATAGTGTTGCCATGGTTACTAGAATAGAAATTTCTTTGAAATTATTTCAAGATTCTACTCATCAAACAGTAATAAGATTTGTTAAACAAGTGGACTTTTTTTGAAAAAAACACATTTCTTTTTATCTCTAACAGGTAATGCACGTGTCAAATATAAATGCCCTAACTTCTCTCCTTCAAAATTTAGAGCAATTATAATTTTTTTGAAAATTACATCAAACTTCAAGATCACGGGGTCAAATATCATTACACATTCGGAAACTTCTTGTCACAGGTAATGCACTTGTCAAAGATGAATACCCTATCTTCTCTCATTCAAAAATTATCACCTATTTCAACATTTTTTTAAAATTAGGTCAAACTTCAAGGTCAGGGTTCAAAAGTCATTGGATGTTCAGAAAAGTCTTGTCACAGGTAATGCACATGTCAAATATGAACACCCTGTCTTCTATTTATCAAAAGTTATAAACAATATTAAAATTTTTGAAAAATAGGTCAAATTTCAAGATCAAGGTCACAGGATCAAATATCATAGTATATTTGGAAAGCCCTACCATTTCTCATTCAAAAGTTATTACCAAGGTTAGAACTTTTGTGACAGACAGACTGACAGATGAATGAAGGTTTAATCACCCCTACTAATGTTATTGTGATATAAATTCAAGACACATGGTGTAGGTTGACCTATTTCAAGGTTATAAGGTAGAACCGGTTTTATAAATAAAATTGGCAGTAAACAGGAAATTGCTATAATCTGTTTCTTTTTTTAAAAAAACATGTCCTATAAAAATGTGTTTCCAGAATTTTCTGAAAGATTTTTAAGATTTTAAACAGAAATAAGTGGGATTTAAAAAATCACAATACATGTATACTTAATTAATCTTCGCTTTTGTGATAATTTACAGCGAATATTGGGGCTTTACGGGTAATGTCGCATGTAAAGGACTTAGTGTGAGCTTATCTCACTAAACAAGTACTGCTTAGCAGTATTGAAAAGCGTCTTTGATTGTTCTACAAAGTCATCGGAGCTTTGTTTGAGTCTCAAAATATTCACTCATCAGTCAAACAGGAAAGTTTTTTTTTTTCACTGTTTGGCTTATAATAAAAATTGACCAAGTATGTTTTAATTAAACAGTACATCAAGCATTACAATGCAATGTATTGTAGGACAGTTATATTTTTATTTAAAAGCAAAAATTAATTAGTTTGCAATTAAAGAACTTCACTCAACACTCCAATTTTCCTCGGGATGTTTCACATATATCCATATCAGTCTTTCAATAAAAAAAAAAATCAGCAAAAGTAACTGTTCTTTGATGAGAACCTAGCTCTAAATACTGTTATCAAAATATATTCTGTTTATCCTTCCTGGTGCTTATCTGCATCACTCTCAAAATTTACACTCATCAGTAAAACACGAGATTTCTCTCTTTTTCAATCTTTCATATACCTAAACTAGGCGTTGCATAAAATAATAAACAGCAATGAAAAAAAATTGTCGAAAAATCCTTCGACATTATTACTGCATTGTTAATTTAGATTCATATGAAAGAGAACAATCATATAAGAAAATGTGAATGAAAATAATCCATCCAGTCTGTTTTTCAAAACTTTTTAAAAAATAAATTTTTTTTTAGAAAATATATTAATTTACACCTTATTTTCAATACCATAGTGTAAAACCTGGGCTTCATTTTATTAATTGAGATTGCATTGTAATGCAGTGCAATAAAATGCAGTTAAATTTTATTATGGTAAACAGTATAAATTCTCTTGCAAACAAAAAAATCCACTCATCAGTCAAAAAGGAGTGTTCATTTCTTCTGGATCTTTTGCGCATACTTAAACTAGTCATTCAATAAAAAAAAAAATCCAGTAACACGTAACTTTGCGAAAGTCTTTCGACTTAATTACTGATTGTTAATTTTGATTCATATTAAAGAAAAAAAAATTTAAGAATATGGGAATAAAAGAAATGCTCTGTAGTCTTTTTTTTTGATACCTTTTTTTTTCAGAGCATAAAATGAAAAAAGTGTGTGTATTCAATCAGTTTTTAAATTCAATTAAGAAAATAAATTGGCTAAGTTAATTATGATTGGACAATTTGGGAGGCATCACAGTGTTTGGCATTGTATTGCAGCAGAGTGCAGTATGGTGAAATTCTACTAGTATTCAAACAAGCACAATCATTTTACTTGTCAATGTACATGTATTAGAAATATTCCCCACCATCCACCCTCCAGAGACAGCTTTTATATACAATTTGTCCTTGTGATTGAATGTTTATTTGGAAATTTGCATAATGTAAGTTTTGTTTCAAAGTTCGATAACTCAAATTAGGTCCCTTTGAACAACGTAGACAAAACGATCACTTATTTCTGCTTCATATTATGTAAATGTTTAAGCAATGCTAACGAGTAACAGGCTTGTATACTATATATAAGACGTTAGAGAAACATTCACAAAAGTCAGAGTTAATAACGGTTACGGGTAATGTCGCGTGTAAAGGACTTAGTGTGAGCTTATCTCACTAAACAAGTAATGCTAAGCAGTATTGAAAAACGTCTTTGATTGTTCTACAAAGTCATCGGAGCTTAAGTTTGTTTGAGTCTCAAAGTATTCACTCATCAGTCAAAAAGGAAAGTTTATATTTTTTTCACTGTTTTGCCAAATAATAAAAATTGACCAAGTATGTTTCAATTAGACAGTACATCAAGCATTACAATGCAATGTATTGTAGGACAGTTATATTTTTATCATAAAGCAAAAATCAATTAGTTTGCAATTAAAGAACTTCACTCGACACTCCAATTTTCCTCGGGATGTTTCACATATATCCATATCAGTCTTTCAATTAAAAAAAATCAGCAAAAGTAACTGTTCTTTGATGAGAACTTAGCTCTAAATACTGTTATCAAAATATATTCTGTTTATCCTTCCTGGTGCTTATCTGCATCACTCTCAAAATTTACACTCATCAGTAAAACACGAGATTTCTCTCTTTTTCAATCTTTCATATACCTAAACTAGGCGTTGCATAAAATAATAAACAGCAATGAAAAAAAAATTGTCGAAAAATTCTTCGACATTATTACTGCATTGTTAATTTAGATTCATATGAAAGAGAACAATCGTATTAGAAAATGTGAATGAAAATAATCCATCCAGTCTGTTTTTCAAATCTTTTTAAAAAATAAAAATATATTAGAAAATATGTTAATTTACACCTTATTTTCAATACCATAATGTAAGACAAAACTGGGCTTCATTTTATTAATTGACATTGCATTGTAATGCAGTGCAATAAAATGCAGTTAAATTCTATTTTATGGCAAACAGTATAAATTCTTTTGCAAAAAGAAAAAAAAATCCAGTCATCAGTTAAAAAGGAGTGTTCATTTCTTCTGGATCTTTTGCGCATACTCAAACTAGTCATTCGATAAAAAAAAAAAAAAAAAAAAAAAAAAAAAACAGTAACACGTAACTTTGCGAAAGTCTTTCGACTTAATTACTGATTGTTAATTTTGATTCATATTAAAGAAAACAAATATTTAAGAATATGGGAATAAAAGAAATGCTTTGTAGTCTTTTTTGAAACCTTTTTTTCCAAAGCATAAAATGAAAAAAAAAGTGTGTGTATTCAATCAGTTTTTTAATTCACTTAAGAGAAAAAATATTCCCCACCATCCACCCTCCAGAGACAGCTTTTATATACAATTTGTCCTTGTGATTGAATGTTTATTTGGAAATTTGCATAATGTAAGTTTTGTTTCAAAGTTCGATAACTCAAATTAGGTCCCTTTGAACAACGTAGACAAAACGATCACTTATTTCTGCTTCATATTATGTAAATGTTTAAGCAATGCTAACGAGTAACAGGCTTGTATACTATATATAAGACGTTAGTGAGACATTCACAAATGACCATGTGTTAAAGTCAGAGTTAATAACGGTTACGGGTAATGTCGCGTGTAAAGGACTAAGTGTGAGCTTATCTCACTAAACAAGTACTGCTTAGCAGTATTGAAAAGCGTCTTTGATTGTTCTACAAAGTCATCGGCGCTTTGTTTGAGTCTCAAAATATTTACTCATCTGTCAAACAGGAAAGTTTATATTTTTTTCACTGTTTGGCTTAATAATAAAAAATGACCAAGTATGTTTCAATTAGACAGTACATCAAGCATTACAATGCAATGTATTGTAGGACAGTTATATTTTTATTTAAAAGCAAAATCAATTAGCTTGCAATTAAAGAACTTCACTCAACACTCCAATTTTCCTCGGGATGTTTCACATACATCCATATCAGTCTTTCAATAAAAAAAAATCAGCAAAAGTAACTGTTCTTTGATGAGAACTTAGCTCTAAGTAATGGATATATGCCGAATACTGTTCTGTATGTAAAATTATCAGACTGTTTGAGGTCCGTTAGGGCCGAAAACAGTCTGATAATTTTACATATAGAACAATATATAGTATATACTATTTGAATAAGCAAATTCTTCTATTCTTAGGAAGGGA